GTATAGCGTCCCATAGAAACAGTCGCTAATAAGGCATCTACGTATAGACATCTATGCTCCACACTGCCTGTTTAGCCCCTCCCACCGATTCTAAAGTGCTGCCTGTTTAGCCCCACCTACCGATTCTACAGTGCTGCATGTTTAGCCCCGCCCACTGATTCTAAAGCGCTGCATGTTTAGCCCCGTCCACCGATTCTACAGCGCTGCATGTTTAGCCCCACCCACCGATTCTACAGTTCTGCGTACTGCTTGTTCAGCCCCGCCCACCGATTCTACAGCGCTGCATGTTTAGCCCCGCCCACCGATTCTACAGCACTGCATGTTTAGCCCTGCCTACCGATTCTACAGCGCTGCATGTTTAGCCCCCCCCACCGATTCTACAGCGCTGCATGTTTAGCCCACCGATTCTACAGCGCTGCATGTTTAGCCCCGCCTACCGATTCACGCATGTAGTGTAAATAACGAGAGAGACGAACGCAGGTCTGCACAGAAATCAAACGATAAAGATGCTCCAAAGAGTGGACCTCAGAGAACTATGGAAGCCCGTTTCCGCCACTGAATAAAAAATAAAAGAGGTAATTGCGACTTTTTATCTCACAATTCTGACTTAAAAAATAAACGAGGAAATTACGACTTTTTATCTCACAATTCGGACTTTTTTTCTCAACTGCGTGGTATAAACTCGCAATTGCGAGTTAAAAAGTCATAATTGTGAGACATAAAGTCGCAATTCTGAGAAATAAAGTGAGAACTGCGAGATATAAACTCACAATTCTGACTTTTCTCGCAATTGCGAGTTTATATATTATTTATTATATTTATATATTATAGCGAGATATAAACTCGCAATTGCGAGAAAAAAAGTCAGAATTGTGAGATATAAACTCGCAATTCTGAGAACATAGTCTTTTTCCCCCCCTCAAACTTGGACTTTAACTCGCAATTGCGAGCTTACATCACGCAATTCTGAGAAAAAAAGTCAGAATTGCGAGTTTTTATCTCGCAATTGTGACTTTATATCTCGCAATTCTGACTTTATAGCTCGCAATTGTTAGCTTACATCACGCAATTCTGAGAAAAAAAAGTCGGAATTGTGAGATTAAAAAAGCTGCAATTACCTTTTCTTTTTTTTCAGTGACGGAAACGGGCTTCCATAGAGAACAGTAGAAAATAAAAAAAATAAAAAAATAGTTCATGGCTCCTTTAAATCCACCCTTCGGATTTCTCTATAACAATCTGTAATATAGCAGTACAGCTGTATAGCCTACATTTAATCTTTTTAGCTGCATTTCCCCACCTGTTGTCGCAGCGGTAAGGTACACAGAAAGTCAGAGCTGGAAGCGGACTCAACTTTAACACCAGGGTTACTTGCAATCTGTTCTGTTTTATGCTCATAAAATGGTGGTCACGTGTTAACCGCGAGAATGGAAAGAAGAAAAAAAATGAAGAGAGAAAAAAAATCCCAGCCTGAATTATAGAGAGGGAAGAAACAGAGGGGAGTTCACAGGGTCGTATATCATTAAGCAATTGAGAAAGTTGATTAGGCAGCTCTGATAATTATTGCCATGGCAACCTGAGCGCGCTCATGCACATTTGATTAATGAGGTGCCATTTATCCGCGCGAGCGAGACCCCTAGCGGGACACAGAGACACTCACTGAAACAATGACAGGATGCATCTCAGAGCCACACTGACAACCAATTTAGCAATAAAGGAATCACGGTATATCCTTGCACATACTGCAGAACCCAACACTAATTAGACAGCATCTAGATATTTTTGCATAGAAACATATTTCTTAATATTTAAGTAAATTTGAATTGATGGCTTCATCTGGTCAAAATCTATAAAAGGTCATTTAATTTGCAGTTCGTTCCCACATCTTGGCATATGCCCATATCATGCGTTAGTGTTGTATGTGAAGCCCATATCAGTGTTGCCAGGTCCGCGGTTTTCCCGCGGAATTGGGCTACTTTATCACTGTTGTCGCGGGTTAAAGCGACCCCGATAACGTGATATTTAGCCCCTGGAGTGCGAATTTTAACGGGGAACCCCGCCGGAAACGGGTATGTTACCCCCCTGAACGCGATTTTTAACGTGGAGCCCCCCTCGAAATGCCCTCTCACTCTCTCTCTGTGTTACAGGCTTTTATGGATTTCAACTGTTCATCACTCATAAATGTCATCCTGAAGTGTTGGGTCATTCAAAACAAAATGTCTCAATAATTGCAGTAAAGTCACAAGATACCCTAAATTATGCTTAAAGTGCTATCGCAATTTCTAAATGATTTCATTCATGGTTTTCAACCAGGTTGAAGAGAGAGAGAGCGAGAGAGGGGAAAAAAATAAAATAAAATACATTGAATGAAATACCTGTGTGGCTCGACTATTTATTTTTTTCCCAGCAGGGACCACATCTATCAACCTGAGCATCACAGACACGTTTTGACTTTTCGACCACCCAGATTCTTAGTATTCATGTTGGTCACTTTTACACAGCACTAACATTTTCTAAACAAACAAACAAAAAAATCTATTATCAATGCACATCATCATGTTTATTAGACAAATAATGCAACAATAATTCCTTTCACGTTTAGTCACCTGTGCTTTTCACTCACAAGTCCATCACATTCAGATATAAAATATATATATATATATATATAATAAACGTTAACAAAAGTTCACATTACAAAGCGTCTCCCTGCATTCAAATGGCACAGCTCATTCAGTCAGTGCTTGATGTTGAGTTTCCCTCAATAAACCAATGTAAACACAGTCAGTTTTCTGAAACATGTAATACAGTCTGCCTCACGAAAACTGTGAAGCAGATTAAACGCATTGCTCCAATTTACAGATTAACATCATACAGCATTCGGCCATTTTGCCCAGATAATACACTCTCAGGCTTTCACAAAAAAGCTAAATCTGTGCATTAAACACACGTTGCTGTGGTTGCAGCACACCGTTAACTGCTGAAAACAACACGCTTGTGTGTTTAACGTGAGTGAGAACGCATCTCAGAAAAGCCTGAAACAATCAACCTGTAACTCGAGACACGAGGTGTTATGAGCATAAATCGCCACAAGAGCATATCCAGATTATAATTAGCCTGAAGAAAATGCAAAATGAAAACCATTAAGCTTCTGGTAACACTTTACAATAAGAGTGGCATTAGTTAATCTGAAAAAAAAAAACAACGAAAAACACTTATACAGCATGTTATCTATCTTAATTAAGTTCAAAATTAGCTAATATATTATTATAATCAAAAGTTGTATCAGTTAATATTATTTATAATGAACCTGAGCTGACATGAACTAACGATTATTCACTAAACTTAATGAAGATTAATAATACATATTGTAATAAATGTATTGCTTATTTATTAGTTAATATTAGTTAATGCATTAACTAACGGGACGTTTTTGTAAAGTGTTACCAAGATTTCTTTGCATTATGACATTTTCATAACAATAATCCCCCCACACATTCACACTAATGCAAAAGTGTTTTTACATCATGGTAGTTTTTGTTGCACTCCTTTTTATGGAAGCCAGTTTCCGCCACTGAATAACAAATAAAACAAGGTAATTGCGACTTTTTATCTCACAATTCTGACTTTTTTTTCTCCGAATTGCGAGTTCATGTTAGGGCTGCACAATTAATCGAATTTCTAATCGCGATTACAATTACGGATGCCACAATTACGTAATCGTTCAAAGCGGCAATTAATCGTTCGAAGTCCACTTATGTTATTCTGCGTGCTTAAGATATGTTTTTTTCATTCTACATGTTATCTTAAGGGTTTTTCCATGGTTTTAGTTTTAGTATAACATTATAATACCATTCATATTTTTACTTTTTTATAATTTAAAGAAGAAACCAATCCGATGTATATTTGACATTTGAGGCTTAATACTATAGAAAAGCACTAAAAGTTTTTCAGTTAGAGTGTTTTCAGCTTGTTTATTTTCATATAAAAATATGGCACGCAGTTGCATCAAACAATGATATAAACATCATTCAATGTAAATTGTGATAATCGTAATTAATAATCGCAATTACAATTTCAAGGGAATAATCGACAATTATGATTTTTGCCATAATCGTGCAGCCCTAGTTCATATCTTGCAATTCTGACTTTATAATACACAATTGCGAGTTTATATCAAACAATTCTAAGAAAAAAGTCAGAATTGCAGAATTTTAAATGACCTTGTTTTATTTTTTATTCAGTGGCGGAAACGGCCTTCCATATTAATGTGTAATCTTGCAAAATGCAAAAAAACAAAAAAAACATGCTCCATTTCTTATGCAAAATCTCATTTCAATATGGATTTTTCCTTCTGATTTTATGGTGAAATATAAACCAAATATTTCTTTGTGATATTCACTCTCGCCGACAGATACAACCACAGTTTATAGTGTCAACTTCAGATGCCGCAGCGTCTCAAAATGAGTAACCCATGTGGCAAAGCCTCAGCCTGTAACAGGTAGTGTTATGTATTTGAAGTGTGTATCCGAAATGTTGCGTTTGGAACCAATAACTTCAAACAAACTCCAAGATGCAATCTTCCTGTCAGTCATAGCCTGGCTGTGTCTGTCCTGTTGTGTAGTTAAATCAGCAGTGAGGGGGTGGGCTTTTTGCCAGGCCACGCCTCCTTGGCGTATTTCTTCTTGCGCAGCTCGTTGAGCGGCTCGGTCGAGTTGGGTCCGGGAGCGGGGCTGGGGTTCAGCACAGCGGGGGGCTGCACTGTTGTGGGCGAGAGGTCCACCTCCGGGGCAGGATTGGGGAAGAGCAGCCGTGATGGCAGACGAGCCGCCCTGTCCTGCGGCCTCGTGGCTGGTGGGGGGCAGGTCACAGTACAGCCCGGCGCTGAGGGGGAAGCTCTGTAACCGGCGTGCTACGCTTTCCTCCAATCCCAGCGTACCGTGGCCTTCTAGTTTCTTCTTCTGTGGGACAGAAATGCCAAAAATAAATGCGTTTTTTACTGTCCTAGGTGGCATGAAATGCAAGACTATTGCAAAGAAAGGCAAGACGGAGTAGGCCTGG